AATTATAATCGTTACAAAAGGAAAGCTAGGGACAGCTTTGACATTGAGATGAAGAAATAAAAGAAAAAATAACTTTTTAGTTTATATCATATTATATCTTCAAAAGCAATTTTGACAAATAAAACTCAAGGCTAAATACAATCCAAAAATAAAAGTAAATTCTATGTATAGTTTAACTAATTTTTAAATTTTAGTAATTGGATTTTGAAAAAATCTCAGCATTTCTAATTAAAATTGATTTTTATGTGAAGCAAATCATAAGGATATATAATATTCATCAAATAAAGATTTAATAAACACTAAATTAGATTCACTTGCAAATAATTTATTACAAAGATTGCTCTATCAGATCTAAGTATATTATCCATTATAATTGATCTCATTTTTTGATAATTCTACGCATTGCTAACTTAGCAACTCGAAAGTTAAGCTGGTAAGATAGGCTTTTATCATTTTTAAATAAATTATGATATATAATCTAAACTGTTATTAGGTTTCTTAGGAAATAAAATTCTAATTTAATGTTATATATATTGAATTGAGAAAACACCAACCTATCAAATATTATTATTTTCAACAAAAGATTTTGAAATAAAAGTAGGTTATTTAAATAGAAATTATTTAAATAGAGAAATTTATAATAATTTGAATTTACAAGAAAAACAATTTTGTTTTAAATTGCAATTATTCAAAAATCATTTAAATATAATTCTAGATAATACTAGGACCATTTTAAACATATTTTAAAATTCCACAGAATATCTACATCAATCAATTCTGTAAAATTGATATCAAAATCGAATTAATTGTTTAAAGTTTAACTAAATTATGTTATGATATTTCATTGATGAAACATTTGTGGTGGATCATATGCTCAAGAAAAATAGATTGCGAGTTGATTAAATAGGATTAAGGATTTTGGCAAAAAACAATAAAAAGTTAGGATATGGGAGAAAATAAATAGAGTTTATACTGAAACTATCACTGCTGCAGGAGCATTTAATTATTATACTTTATATATAATACATCATATCCTCTAAAACGAATTTTATATAATTTATCAATATCATTAAAGATTCAAAGGCTGTCATGTATTACTATTGAGGAACTGCAAAATCTAAATTAGATGGATATAGTTCTAAGGTATATTCAGTATGCTACTCTTAATCAGCCTATAAAGGAAAGAGCTTTTGCTTTACCAAGATGCAAATAAATTCAAGTGAGAAGAATATTGATTGGACAACCTAATTAAGTCTATAAAATTTAGATTTTTCCTGTTCTCTATTAAATTTTTCAATTATTTTAACTTAACTTATATAGTTGAATTAGCAATTCAAATAGATTAGGATTTCATTCAGCTTCTGACTACATTATTAATTATGCTTATTTCAAAGTGCTTTCTTCATAATAATGAAGTATCTTTAATTTTAATTTAATTTTAATATTTTCAAAGTAATCTCATCAAGCCATGATCCAAAATATTTGATATCATTAGTCTTAAACTTATGGTTAATTTTTTTGATATTTTTATGACGATTATTTGAAAAAATTTACAATTTATAATTTTCCCTCTTTAAACTTTCAGTAAAACAGTGATTTAATAATTCATCAATGTCTTTCGATGAATCTAATAACTCTTAAAGTCTTTCATCTTATAATAATCTATTACTAAATAAATTGAACAACTTTCAAAATTGGTTCCTTTATGGGATTTCTAAAATACTAGTGAAAATAACTTCTGTTTGAACGATTATGCTGGTTCGACTAAAAAATTATTTAAATATGATAATAGCTTTTTATAAAGAATCATATGAATTGCATCTTCCTGATAAAAATAAAAAAGTTTAAAGATAATAATCCTAAGGTGAAAATTCGAGACCAATATCTAACTTTATAATGTCTAATAGTGCCCATTTATCATTATTGTAAATTATCAGCATTTTTTGGAATCACAATTTCCTTTTTCTGTGTACTCTCAAAATAAGCATCAATTTATCCTAAGCCATCTTAACCTCTTAGTTGTTAGTTAAATACAAAGGTTTCCCAATAAATAAAGTTTAACCTTTGATTAATTTAGTCATTTAGGAATTCCTTGATTTTCAACAGGTTTCACAGACTTATTTATGGCAAGATTGGCTTGGAGAGGAAAAAATCTAATAAAATTAGTACCTCTAATTAGTAAAAAGTAATAATTACTCTATTAGATTTTAATGAAGTGTAAAAACAATATTCAACATTTTTATTTAAATTAATCATTGCTGCTTCTGCTTAATTTATAAATTATGTTTAATTTAGTATATTACTGTTTTTTTGTAAAAGATTAGGAAAGATGTACAATTTAATGAAACTCAATCCTTTGTAAATAAATCCAAAAAAAATTTAATGGTGGGTTTCAATCTACTCTAAATTTCCACATAAAACAATTATGATTTCATGAAACGAGTGTGTATTCATATTCATTAAAATAAATAATCGTTATTCATTGCTCTAAATCTCATGGAAAGATTATTGAAAAATAATCTTATCCATATATAAAGCAGATATGTTTCCTACTTGGCAATCTACTAATCCTAAATAATTTCTCATGTTTTAGGATAAATATCATCTTGTTCTCTATTCCTTTAATTATATTTCAATATTTTAAAATTCTTATTAAAAAGGAAAATTTAATTAGACCAATCCTGAAAATACTCATAAGTATGAGTCACTATGTTTATTCTTCAAATCTTCTATAATTATTATATGCCTCAACAAAAATCAATCTGCAAGGATTTAAATATTAGACATCAAGATACTGTTTCTTCCAATTTTGGTGGTATATTAAACACATAGATTAATTAAGATTAAAACATGTATCTCGAGATTAATATTATTAATGGAATAAATAAAGATTAATATCTAAATTAATTAATTTTTATTTTTAAGAAAAAATGAATGAATAATATTTTAGTTTAGATCAACGCACATCTTTATAGTAATAAATATGATATAATATAATATAATATTATGATATGAAATTTTCACTATTTTCATAGTGCTACTGATCCCTTGTCAAATTCATTCATATTAAATATAAATAATGAAAATTTATGATGAGGAGTCATTTTAGTTGTTCCTTTGGTGATAATTAGCTAAATCTTAATATTTTAATGCTTTTTCAATGATATTCATTTATTGTAAAGTAACCGCTAAATAAAATGAAATCCAATTTTACCTTTGTTTTCGTAAAATTCTGGATCATCTGGGTTTTTTGAGATGGCTAAATCATAATATTATAATGCTTCTTGAAATCTATTCAATCTGCGTAAAGCCTAAGCTAAGAAATTATGGAGCGACAATAATACCTTTGTTATTATAATAATTAGCATTTTCAGGATTTCTCTAAATAGCTAAATCATAATTTATAAAGCTTCTTCAAATAGATTCATTTTATATAAACTAAGCGCTAAGATAATATGCTGATTCAATTAAACCTTTGTGATTATAAAAGGCGGCATTTTCAGCGTCTCTCTAAATAGCTAAATCATAATATTATAATGCTTCTTTAAATAGATTCATTTTATGTAAAGTAATAGCTAAGAAATATGAAGTGTTTACTTACCTTTGTTATTATAATAGATGCTCTTTTCAGGGTTTCTTAAAATTGCTTAATCGTAATATTATAACGCTTCTTCAAATCTCGACATTTTATCTAAAGTAAAAGCTAAATATGCTTAATTCATTTTACCTTTGTTATTATAATTTCTAGAATCTTCAGGATTTCTCTAAATAGCTAGATCATAGAATTCTAATGATTCTTCTTCTCTATTCATTTAAGTTAGCGCCATCGCTGAGAAAATATTCAAAAAAAATTCAACCTCTGCCATTAAAAGAGATAGGATTTTCAGGATTACTTTAAATGGAAAAATCAAACTATTATAGCGCTTCTTCATTTCTATTCAACTTAAATAAAGTAAAAGCTAATTAAATTTGGATATTTAATATACCTTTGTTATAATAATAAAGTTGATTTTAAGGGTTTTTCTGAATAGCCAAATCAAAATATTCTAATGCTGTTTCTAATCTATTCATTTAGTATAACGTCATTGCTAAGCAGTTGTGTGTTAATGAATACCTTTTTTATGAAAAAATTCTGCATTTTCTGGATTTATTTGAATAGCTAAATCGTGATACTCTAATGCATCTTCTAATCTATTCATTTATTATAAAGTATTTGCTCAACAGTTGAATGTTAATGAATACCTTTGTTATGAAAATAATCTGCATTTTCTGGATTTATTTGAATAGCTAAATCGTAATAGTGTAATGCTTCTTAAAATTTTTTCATTTACATTAAAGTGTTTGCTAACATATTATACATCTAAAATATACCTTTGCTATTATAAAATTGGGAATTTTCTTGGTTTTTTTGTATAGCTGAGTCATAATATTGTAGTGCTTCTTCAAACCTATTAATTCTTTCTAATGCAGATGCTAAATATGATTAGATGATAGCCTATACCTATGTTAGAATCATATTCTGCAATTTTTGGGTTTAACTATTTTGCTAAATTATAATATTATAATGCTTCTTCATATCTTTTCATACGGAATAAAGACAATCCTAAGTATGATGATGTTCAAAAATACACCTTTATTATTATACAAAATTGAACTATCTGGGCTTTGTTAAATAGCTGAGTCATAACATTGTAATGATTCTTCTAACCTATTCATTTGCATTAATGTAAATGCTAAACTTAATGAAATGATAGATCATACCTTTATTATTATTATATTCTGTAGATTCTGATATCTATGAGCCATAAGAATCTAATGCTTCTTAATATCTATTCAGTTATTATAAAGCAAAAGCTAAAAGTATCAATATTGAATTTTACCTTTATTTTAAGAAAAACTTTAAAGATAAGGGTTTTTTAGTTGAATAGCTTAATCAAAATAATATAATGCTAATTCAAATCTATTCATTTTACATAAAATAAACCCTAAGGAAATATGCACGTTAAAAGATACCTATGTTATTATAATTAAGAGAATTTTCAGGGTTTAGCTAAAGGGCTAAATCGAAATATTGAAGTGCTTCATCTAGTCTATTCAGTAGAATTAAAGTCGCCGCTAAAGGGTTGAATATTATATATGCCTTTGTTATGATAATATTCTGAATTATTAGGGTCTTCTTCGATAGCAGAATTAAAATAAGATAAAGCTTCTTTATATGTTTCAGTTTCAATTAAAGACAACCCTAAGTATCAAGATCTTAAAAGGCTTACCTTTTTTATTATAAGATTCTGAAATTTACAGATTTTTTAGAAAAAGTGAGTCGTTATGTTCTAAATCTTCTTCTAATTTATTCATTTTTTCTAGAGTGAAGGCTATTAAAATACTCTTTATCCTTACTTTTGCCATTACAATAAAGTTCATTATTAGGATTTTACTAAAGAGGCAAATCATACTAATCTAAAGCTTTTTCGATTTAATTCTTTGTATTTACATTCATTACAAATCTATTCTAATGAACAACTTATAATTTATTGTCATCTGAAGATCTCTCTTATATTAATTCTTCGATGTATTTTAGATTTTCCTACTCAAAGAATTCCTTTTAATCTTATTTCTTTTTCGAAGTTTAAGATGTAGAGTTCAATATGCTTTAAGCCTACAATTTAGTTATTCGACTAGTCTTAATAGCAATATTCTTTTTAATTTAAATATTAGTTCTAGTTTTAATTTTACTAAATTTAAGCTATTTTATCATTCCTTCTATGTTTTTGTTGTTAATTTAACCTTAAAAGTGCATAAAAGCTTAACAAAAAATAAAAATTATTCATGCATTTTTATTTTATGTTCCTCTTTTTATATATTTCTATTACAGAAAATTGCATTACAAAATTAATTAATAATTATTATATTATTTAAACAATATACAGCAATAAATTGGGTTAGATCAAGCCAAAATCTATATGAAATTTGGATGAGGTTGTTATGAAATGTAAATTTGAATAGCCCAGATTAGGACTCCCAATGAGGAGAATCTATTGGGAATATTTGTATCGTCAAAGACAGATTGATTCGGAATGGAAAAAGAGTTTATTTAAAAATAAAAAATATATTTATCCATTAAAACACAAAAATGCTATAATTGAAAAAATATTCTTCAAAACAATAAATAAAAAAATCTTAAATACGAAAAATTTACTTTATTATCCTAAAAAATGTAATAATAAGCAGTTGGAAATCAAGCGACTGCACTATTATGATTGATAAACCTCATCCATATTTTTTCTCCTCATCATATCAAACTGATTGACTTTATATCTGGTTTGACCTATGCTAATTTCAATTATAATAATAACTCCTTTTCGTTTTTAAATCTCTGATTTGTATTTACCCAATTTCCGCAACTCTGTCAACTTTCCAATGAAGCTCTATGGTACTCATGTGATAACCTTATTCAAATTAACCATAGGTTATTTATTGGTTGAATCATTATCTTCAAGAGATCGTATACTCCTATACCCCATGTATTTGTATTTGGAGAAGCTATAATATTATTCGCCTTTTCTGCTTTGTCTTTAAAAGTTTAGATCTAATTATTCAAAAATTACTCATGTTTCCAATTTATTCTTGGCTAGGCTCTCCATTAATTTATTTACATTTCTAAAGAATTAAAATGATTATAAGGAAACAGGTTAAAGAATTAAAATTTCCTTTAAGATATTCTCTTAGTCTTCATTATAAATTATATAATCTAAGAGGTAATAAAATAAGAAACATAAAATGAATTGTTTCTATAGCGGATAATTTCATTGACTCAGCAACTTACCATTATATTTCTTCTGAACAAGATGCAGCTCTAAATACTGCCGTAGTTATTCCATAACATTTACTCGAAACATCCAGAATGGAACCTTTTGTACATCATATAAATATCAATTATTCGTTCAGTATATCATAGCTCACAACACTGCTGATTTATTTACTGCATTATCGTAAATATCACATACAGCTTTATTCGCGCAATTAGCACCAACAATATAAGTATAAGTTTTTGAAACTTCTCAATAGTTAGAGTAGTATACTTTTACAATCTTATATTGTTTCAATGGCTGGTCTATTTTTACAGATAGCTTTATCATAAGTTTCTCTATAATACATACACTTTTAATTGTTTGCTGAAACATCAATGAATGTAAAATTGGTTTTGAATATTTATACTTTCCATTTTTTAAATATTTTTCATATTCAAACTTCTTCAAAACATTAAAAGATTTACAGAAATAAATATCTTTCCTATGAAGCTCATGTTGCAATGCGAGGTTTATATTTGAGTTGTTGATAACATCACATCTCTTATTGCATATTTAGTTGTGAAACAAATTGAGATATTATAGATCTAAGAAATCAGAACCTCTCTAAAGGATCAATTTTGTTGATAGTGAAAAATTGTTAATAAGATGTTTAACATTGAATAATTGTTTTGAGAAGAAGGAGAGCAGAATTACAAGAGGAACGAAAAATATTATTATACATTTATTATTAATTAATTCAGTCTCTTAAATAAAAATATTTATATGGCGATATATTTTAACATAATCAATTTTCTTACTATTTAAACTCTATTTAGTTATTCAAAATTAAACTTCCTTTAGATTTGAAGAAAGATCTTAACTCTTCTCCATAATAATTGAATTGTCCTAAGAAGATATTAGAGGGAGCTAAATAGTCAATGAAAAAAATATATACGTTTTGTTAAATAATAAAAGATTTTTTAAAAGTGATTTTTAACTTAGATAGGAGTATCTTGATATTATTTTCCCAATACAGAAATCTCTTTAACATCCAAACTATAAATATTGTCTTCATTTACCACAGATACCATCAGAAAGTAAGCATACTGAATAGACGCAATGAATGTGAGAATTTAATTCTGCTTTTTATTGACCTGTATTAACTTTCCATAAACGGATAGAGGCATCATAGCTAATTTAGTAGCACTAGGAGAGAAACATACTTAAATGACACAATTTTTATGACCATTTATTTTAGCTTTCTATTGCCCTGTCTATAAATCCGATATATAGATAGTCTTATCTCCACCGCCGGATGCTAATGTAGTATCATTAGGAGAATAGCATAATGAAGTGACAGTCCAACCATGACCATTGAATTGTGCTTTTTATTTTCCTGTCATAACATCCCATAAGCGAATAGAATTATCAAAGTTACCAGGAGCTATTGTAATACCATCAGGAGAAAGGCATACTGATCGGACAGTATCATTATAACTATTTAATATTGTTTTAAATTATCATGTTTGATCACTAATATAAATGGATAGAGTTATCTGTAATACCAGTTGCAAAATATTAACATTTGGAGAGAAACAAACTGAATTAATACTATTAATATGACCATTTAATTTTGCTTTTTACTACCCTGTGTTAACATCCAATATACGGATAGAGGCATCGTAGCTACATGTTGCTAATATAGTAGCATCAGATGAGAAGCATATTGAATTCGCACTATCACTATGACCATCTTATTTTACTGTTTATTCTCTTATCTTTACATCACATATACGGATAGACTGATCTGCACTGCCAGATGCTAATGTAGTACTATCAGGTGAGAGTAGCACACTGAACAGACACTACTTGTACCCCACCCTAATGTAGTGCCATTTGGAGAAAAGCATAAGGAAATACCAAATAGACTCCGTCCTTATAATTTTAATATAACTTTTCTTGTTTTTGTACACCATAATCGAATAGTCTCATAATAATTACTTGATGCCAATATAGTTCCATAAGGAGAGAAACAGAATGAACTTACACAACTATTATGGGCGTCTAATTTTGCTTTTTATTATACTGTCTTAAGATCCCATAAACAAATAGACCCATTTGAATAACCAGTTACGAGCGTATTACTATCAGGAGAGATACAGATTGAACTAGCACCGCTGTATTGGCCTTCTAACTTATTTAGCTCAGGTATTTTTATGTTATTCCACTTACAATTAAATAATTATGCTCTATTCAAATTCATTCCACTCACATCTTCAGCTTCTAATTTAGATCCAATCAAATTACAAATTACAATTTGCAAAATTAGCACTGATCTGAGATGAATCCTTAATTTAAATATTTCAAAACAAATTGAAGATGATTGCAATTAAGGTAGAATATAACATATGTAGATTAAAGATAGATTACCTATTATGGTTCCTTTGGAATATGTCATAAATCCTTATTATAATTGAATTTAAACATTATATATAAAGAGATTTCAATCTTCTAATTTTAAACTAATTTAGATGACAATCAAAGATTAAAGAAGAACATTTGAAAAATCAAATCATCATAATGAAATTATTAAGGGATACTATCTTATAATTTACTAGTTTCTTTAGAATTAGAAATTGAATTAATACACAGAAGTTTGGTTCATTTTTATTTAACTTCAAATAAATAATTTGTTTTTAAATTATGCTTTGGAAGGGGTAGTGTTAAAGAAATATTATTAGAGTGATGATTATTTGTTCCGAAGAACTACAAAAAATGATTAGATTTCCAGGATAATTTTAATAAATTTTCTATTCAGAACATATTTGCTACATTGGCAAGAGTGTTTTTCGAAAAAGTTTTTATAAGATTTTAGGATAATTTGAAATTAATCAGTTTACAAAATCAGAATTTATCAAAATGGATATAAAGACCCTAATGGAGATGTTATCTTGTAGGATGTTTATACAAAATTAGGAAAAGTTCCCTTCGTCATCAACCAGTAAATCGCCAACTTACTACTTCTTATATAAGTATTTATAAGAATTGCTGGAAAGAAGAGAAATTCAATTAATATAACAAGATTGATCCCTTTACATTGAAGCATCAGAGGGAAGAAAAATTATATAAGTTGCGGAAAAGTAAACACCACAGGAATCCACAATAGAAGAAAAAATAATAGGAATAGTTAAGATTTTATCTTATCGGGAGAAGAGCGAAAAAAAACGGAAAAGATTATTAGCTCTCCGACTCCAAGGAGAGTTTAGAACCTGTAAATTGACTTTCGAAATCAAAGAATCAATGTTTAGTTTCTATATTATAATAAATATTGAGCTTAGTCTCAAACATTTAGAATACCTTCCATTTCGGAGCTGGAAGTAACATCCTTTTTAAAAGATACATTTATGATTAATTTATAATCTAAATACATTCAGGTAACATCCTATGTACTAAATTTTCATTATTAGCATTTTCTAGCTGAATTATAGGAAAAAATAAGATTTTGACTAACAATAATGATAAATAGTAATTATAAATGCAAATTATTCAATTAATATAATATATATTACTTAAATAACATATTCATTTGATAGCTCCCTTTTCAGTCAATAATAGCTTTTCAAAATTTTCATTTTCAATAGTTTGAAATCTTGATTATTAAATGTTACAGCAACTGGCCTACAAGAGAGGACTTTTTGCAAACGTATAATAGCAAATTGGGTTTTCATAATTTTTTAATGTTTTAGAATCAATCATATATAACAAAATTGACCCATCTTCCATACCAAGTATGAATTTTTCTCCAGATGATGCAAATTATAACTATTTAATTTGAGAACTAAACTAATTCAAAGTATATTTTATTTCATTAGTTTAAGCATCCATAATATATAAAGTTCTTTGATCAAACTTTCCAAAAAAAAAATATACTCCTAATTAAATGTTTGCTTTATCAAAATCAAATTAAGTACCCTCTTCGATTACTCCTGTTTATGTATATTCAGAAATGTTTTCATCAATTATTTCCCCAGATTTACTAAAAATCCTGATTGTTGATGAGTTTATAAAAGCAAAGGCAAGTGTTTCAACTAATTTTGACTAATTAATTTTTTACACAATCTTATTTTAATCAGAAATATCCCAAAACCTTAGGGTATGATTAATTCCTAATGCTAGTAAGTGATTCCCATCTTCTGAAAATTGGAGTATTGAAGAACGAGGCTATTTTTCAAGATAATTACCTTCCAAAACTACAATAACTTTTGCTTTTTACTATGATACATCATATATCTTTAGATTAGCCTTATATTAGACTGCGACTAAATTCTTGGCTTCATTATACCCAGCTATGAAGTTTGATGATGATAAAGGATAGTTGATAGCTTCATCCAATACTACAACTTCTTTGGTTTAAACCACAATCTGATTTACCTAAGCATCCACCCAAACTTAACTTTCTTCATACCATACAGCTATGAATTCCTCTTCTTTCAGTGGGAATATGTACAAAAGTAATATTTTTCTATCAACATTATTTACAGTTTTAAGTTCTTCTGATTTAATCAAAGCAAATTTATCAGTTACATTCCAATATTTGATTACTTCATTCGTATGGCAAGAGTACAAAATCTAACCATTCCCAGAAAAGGCCATTGATAAAATTTTATTATTTTTCAAAGAGGAATGCTGCAAAATAGATTCTGTCTATTTTCTTTCTAGTGACCATATGATGATTGATTAATTTTGATCTTCAAGAGCTAATCTCTAATTAACATGACATATGGCAATTGTTGTTGTTTAACTAACTTATATTCCCACCATATCTTCATTCTTTAATTCAGAGTTATTGCTTGTTAAAATTAATTCAAATGGATTTGTTTTTACAAGAATATTTGAATTAATCGTAATTGACCTTGATTCAGGACTAAATCTAGGTTATGATATTAGTTATTTTGATCTAAATACCTGCTCTAAATTCAAGATGAATATTTATGAATTACTATGCTTCCATATAAGTTGTGTTTGATCTAAACTAAAAGCAACTTTGTCTTAAATAATACAAAATTATTGATAATGATTTTCAATCATGAATTTTGTATTTAATTTCCATATGTGGATTAATTGTTTATCATCTTGAGCAGCAAAATATTAACAGTTAGTAGAAAAACAAAATGACGATGGAAGTCTTTTACCTGTTAATAATACATCAATTTTTCTTAGTTCTATCAAATCCCACCTTATGATTTCAACATTAGATCCTGTAACCAATTAGAAACCATCTGAGGAGATACACAATTAATTAACTGAATCAGTGTGACCATCCATTTCAAATTATTACTGTTTTAATGCTATCAAGTTCCACAACTTTATGACTTCTTTGCTTGTCTAAGCTAATATCCCTTTTGAAGATATTCTAAGAAAATCAATGCTAGCAGTATCACTTTTAAACATGGATAACAATTTGCAAGATTTAGCATCCCACAATTTAATTGTTAAGTCTAAATAGCATGATACAAAATTTAAGCCATCTTCAGAAAAGATCGCTTTTAAGCATACAAATTTTTCTTCATCGATCTCTTCAAAGCATGATATTGTTTTTTACGTTTCAAGGTCAATCATCGATAATTTTTATCGCCATTTTTAATTCGGCGCATTCTGAATTGCAACCAATTGCGATTCTTAGGGATTTAAAGTAGCAAATTCCAAATTTGCTAAATTCAGATTAGTTTATTTGGCAATCTAGTTTTTATTTAATTCATATTAATAATATATTGAATCTTTTGAGATAGCCGAAAAAAACTCACTATTCTATGAAAAGTTTTTATACAAATAATTCGGTTGGGTTAATGTAAAAATTTTATCCAAAATAAGTATATCTGATAAAGATTGAAAATAAATACGATTATCTAAACCCACACCAAAAAATGACTAATCCGAATTGAAAATAGCTTCTCCTGATTTTTTACCTTTATTAATCTAAATCAATTAGATTAAGTCTAATTTTTATAAATTGAGTAAAATGATATGGTAATAACTATATACACAAATTTATTGTCTCTATTCTAAAAAAGTGATTTTATAAGGGGATCTAGGTAATTAGATGACCGACAACTTTGTTATTTATTACCAATCTTTGATGTCGTATAAAATTAGTTATCCTCCAAGTGTATCTGTTCCAACAATCACTCTTTCATTGCTAACAAAACCAACAGATAAGCAATTATTCTTTTCTTCAAAATTCTTTACTCTTTACTTGGTTTCGATATTTTAAATAACAAATCCTTTCTCAAATACTGCAGAAATAAGAGAGGAATCAAGAGAAAATTAAAAGCCTCTGTATTAAATGTTGCTTTCTGAAGAAATTTAATTTGGACTATTCTGATTTTCCCTAACCACAATCTCAAGACCTTTTATGCTTCCAATTACAACAAACTTAGAATTTGATGCTACTGACATTCCATAGGCATTCCGAGAGAAAAGTAATTTAGAAGTGTATTTGATTTCTTCATTTTGAATTTACAATTGAATCACGTCAATATTATTCTGTATTATAAAGTTTTCATCATCTAAATAAAACCCTCTTTGTAAATATTAAAGATTTATTAGAGGAATTTTCTTCTCAATTTAGAAGGATTGTTCATTTATTTTCCAAATCCTTATTCCAATATTCTTACTCAATGTAACCATAGCATTACCATCTTTCCGAAAACTTACATCTAAGAAATAATCTAAGATTGGTTCGAAAGGAATTTGTGTAAATTCAACTGTATTCCAAAATTGGATCCCTTTTGAAGTTGGACCTGCTAATGACACCATAATTGATTTGAATGGACAAAAAGCAATGATTTTTGTATCCGTTGATTATTATATTTTCGTTTAAATTTGAGGCTAATCTATTTTGGTGATATCCCAAAAAATGATTGTTTTATCATCACCGTTAGATACCATTTATCTGCCATCAAATGAAAAAGCAATATTAGAGACCTTTTTAGTGTGTGCTTCTAATTTTATAATTAAGCTGTATTTGGTTAAATCCCATAAACAAATAGTCTGATCTACGCTACTTGAACCTAAAACTTTGTTATCATTTGTAATTTTTAAACATAAAATATTTTAAGTGTGTTCCTCTAATGTATGAATCATTTAAATTTAATGAAAGTTTTTAATATCCCAAACATATATTTTAGCTTTGCTGTTATTTTAATAAGATGTTTAATATTCAGCAGAAGTTAATATCTAGCAATCAGAAGATATCTCAATTATCTTAAAATGACATTGAGGAAGTAATTTAAAAAAGTCCTATTATTCTAGCAGCTTGTCAACCTCATACAATTTAATTGATGATTAGGTTCTTGCAGCTAGCATTTTTCCATCATATGAATAAGATACTTGCATTATGATCTCTTATTAATCAAATGAATAAAGCAGCTAAACATTAGTTAAATCTTTAATGTTCCAAAATTTAAGCTATTTATTTTCTCCCCCAGTTACTAAGATTTCATTATCTTTTGAAAAAGCAACTCCGAAAATATTCTTGGATTATGCTGGAAGCTCTGCAATTTCCTGAATGTCTGATATTTTATTACAATTCCATAGAGTTATTTGCTTACCACATGTTGCTAAGAGTTAATAATTAGAAGAAATTGCAATGCAATTAATTTATCCCTTATCATTTTCCTTAGAAATGTATCTTTAATTTTATATTGGTTTTTCGAGATTTTCAATTTTCCATAAGTGTACCTGTCCTTATTTCACCTATGCGGCTAACCATTCATCGTTTGGAGACAAAATAACATCACCGTAATTATCATTAACCAAAGCTTCAAATCTCAATTACGTCAAATTATGTGGATTATAGAAATATACATTATTCTCTGAGAGACAGGCAAGCAAATTTTTACCCTTCGATATTGTAATTAATTTATCATTATTTGGAAGGTCTGCTCTCTTTGGCTCTTCGTCAGCATAAACCTACCAGATATTAAGAGTTCCATCCTAACTACCTGATAATAAGGTGGTTCCATCATCACTAAACACAACCTAAGTTATCTTCGAGTTGTGACCTGATAATGAGGGTTTCTCTTTGCAAATCAGTTTTTCCCAAACAGCATTCTATATTTTTGCACAATTAAAATTACATGAATCAATTGAAACGTTATTAAAGCAGGTATTGTTTAAATTACACTAATAGAAACTTATGCCATTCAATTTAGTATCCTCTATCTAGATGTTACTAAAATCGATGCCATCAAAATGCTCCCTCAATGAACTTATAATGTAGAGTGAATTTGAAGCTGACCTTAAAAATTTTTTCTTAGATTCAATCTTTGACAATTAGATTATCTGAATTAATTTCTGTTTAATCTCTCCGATCTATTTCAATTTAGGTTTTAATATTTCCAAAGTTCCAGAGTAATGATCCAAAGATAGGTTGAATTAATCCTTATTAAAACTACTGCTTTATAACACAGTTTGATCCACACTTTGTGATTCATTGTTGAAGAGTCTCTCAATCAAGTTTAAGATGTATTTGGCAACAAAAAACTCTTAAATGGATTTATGATTAAATGAATATATACTGCCCTTTGAATTAATCAACATACACTTGCGTAATAGAGTCTTGTACTCAAAATCATCTTAATTATCACTGAAATATGAGTCTTCCCAAGAGACCTCAACTTTCCTTTCTTCCTCAGCTTACTTAATGTATAGTTTCCCTTTTGATTTATAATTCACTTGGGTAATTTATCTCTGAGACATATCTATAGCTAAAAATATTGAAAAATCTTATAAGTCCAATAGAACACTTTCTAGTTTTATACTTTTTCCCAAGTCCTTCAATTTTTGTAATTGTTAATTATGATAAAAGTTAACAAATATTTCATAAAAATCGAAAGCAGTAAATTAGTTTAACCTAAAGGCTGAAACAATAAAATTTGCATCATACCTCACTTTAAAAAATCTGCTTGAAAAGATAGTATTATTATTGATATATTCTAGAGAGTTGGCTATAGAAAACTACTCGAAAAAGTTTTAACTGTCCAAGTCTTCCATAATTAAATTAAATTATTCCAGTATTTCTGATTCTAAATTTTTTTTCTCTTTCTTTACATTTAATTGATTCAAATCTTCTGAATTCTTATTTTACCTTGTTTAATATTCTTCAATCACTACCTCTGATTTCTTAGCCTCTCTTTTCAAAACCATAAAATTTTTCTTTAGTAAATCTCTTATTAAGTTAGATTGCGAGAAAAATTATGACATTTTAGGTAACACATAAACAATTATTTCCATCATAAATGGAGTTGTCAGTAGATGATTGATGTTGACGTTATTAATTACTTAAGAGAATTTCTACTCTCCCCAAAGTTACAATAACTCCTTTTTTAATGATACCATCTAATTTGATTTTATAAAATTAAAAAACTCTACTGCTTAAATCTTTAATATCAATTTATCCACATCCTATGTCTAAAACAACACTTCAGAATTTTATTTCTACATTATAATTGAATTAATTGTATTCTCTATTTAACTCCATATTTACTTAAACTCATCTAGTGAAATTACTTAACCTTTCAATTATTTGAGAAACTCATAAAATCTTTTAATAGTTCTCTTAACACTTATTTCAGCATATATTTTTATATATTGTGAACTCTGTTCCTAACTAAAAGGCAATATCTCAATTTCTTTAAGTGTTTCTATGCTTTGACCATAAAACCATGTTTAATATCCTATTTAATTCAAAATTTCTTCTCTTGTCGTTATAATCATTTTAACTGTTTGTCCTGATGCCTAAAGATTAAGATCTTAAACCAATCTATTTGTATGATAAAGATTAGTTCCAATGCAATCAATTTTCATTTCGTCATAACTTTCAAGAATCACTACAATCTTTAAGTTTCCATTGATGACAGCATCCTTGAACTCTCTTATTTGTATATTATCAAAGTTGTAAATTTCAGATTCAAGAGCCTAATCTATCAAATTATGATGTGGGTCTTTTAAGGATGGAAGAGATAAATAAATAGGGATCCAATTTGGTTTTATTGAATCGCAAATCCATATAAATTCTTCGATATTACGTGCAGCTCTACTCTTACCAGAACCTGCTTTCCCTTTTATTAACATAACATCTTTTTGCTTTTCTTAGTCACTCCATAAAAATTCATTCACTTCCCCATCAAAATTATCATATTAATTCTTTATTAAGAATGTGATGAACTCCCCTTTACTGTTCGTTTTTTTATTTCCAGAAATAGGATCGTAATCTTGTGTTGTAACCTATATGTGAATTTAATCAAGTTCATTCTCTTATTTTTATTTTAAAACCTTTTATTTTCGCATGCTCAGTAATTCCATAAAGTTCTTCCCTCTCAATCTTCTTATATCATCCTCCACACTTTTTATGCTAGTTAATACCTTATCTATTGATGATTTTATGTTTTTCAAATCCTTACTAATTTCTCTTAAAAACATTAAACTAATATCTAATCTTTGTGACATATCCGTAATATTATCTAAATATATTTCAAAATTCTCATATTCTTGTTGAAGCTACAACTTTATTTCTTCTTAATTATCGCTAAGAAGAATTTGAGTTTCAAGTTGTTCAATTTATTTGAATCTATTTTGCATTTCTGTTTTTAACTTATTTGAGAAATTTTGTAAATCTTTTGAAAATAGTTTCTTCTACATCACAATCATTTCCTCATTTTTCAGTAAGCTTCTAACACTAGGATGTTTTTCAATTATCCAAATTTATTTTAATAAATTTTCGCAAAACTCTTATATTATTTCTTCTTGAACTACGGATTACATCTTTATCAAATTAAATACAAGGATTTCCCTAGCTTTATATGAAGAATTTTAAAACATATCAAAAATACTTACTTCTTAATTTGTCTTGGTGCTCTTTTTTAACTCCTTAAACATAGTTGAGATTATATCATCTTTTCTATCCTAATTTTATGGAGCTTAATCTTCAATGCAAAGAGTATTAAAATTTAATATTTAAATCCTTACATGAACTTGCTAAATTTAAGGTTATTTTTGGAGTTTTGCAATAAAATTCTCACTAAAAATCATTTATTCATTCCTATTTATCTACTGACAAAACTATAGAGTTTATTGAGATATATCACTTATTATTTGATATAAACTTTATGTATATACACTTTTTAATTTATTCAATAACTATACATTTGTTGATTAATTGTAAGTAGCAGCTTCAATTAGATTTGATTTGAATATCCTCTTTAGCTTTTGAGATTTCATAATTAAGCCTTCTAATGTTTTGATGAACTTTTCACACTCAATCAAATCTCCTAAATTTAATTTTAGTAATTCTTATCTAGAAGAAGGTAATTAAGGATCCCTTGAACACGATTATAATTCCTCTGTCTTTTCTTCTTAATTTATTTCTTAAAGATAGCTATCCAGCAATTTTAAAATTTCTTATTATATAATATTTCTCTCCTTCTAAACCAACCCAAATATTTCTAATTTAATTCTAACCTCCTAGAACAATAATATAAGTGGTTCTTATATTTGCTCCTTCCAATTCTATTTTTTTATATCGTTTATTTCCCTATAAATTTGATATGATAGATTATTAAAATCATTTTATTGCTCCTTTGTGAATTCTGTGTTTTAATATTTATTAAATAAAATTTATAACTTCTCTTTCTTGTCAAGAATTAATGCTCTAATTTATTCATTGATATCTGTTTAATTTTATTATTCTCCATCAGCTTCTTGAACTCCTTTACTTGAAAAAATCCCTTAAAATTATGGGAATATTGTATTCAGTTTTTTTTGATGGACACAAAGCATCATTTTTATTCCCTTATGAATATTTAAACTGGTATAAATGATTTTGAGAACTTTTCGAATATCTTATACTTCCTCAATTTTTGATTTCACCTTTTCCATGTTTTAGAAATATCCTTAAACTTTATTAACCAATTTCACTATCAGCTTTGAATACAAAATCCTGATTATCTCCTCAGCTATATGTCTTTGAGAAATTGGGGCTTTTAAAAAATCTTTGTAGTTTTGCTATTTTAGAATATTCAAGAAGTTTCTCTTCACAGTTGATACTTATAACAGAAATTTATCTATGTTTAGACAATAGGTAGCAAAGACTTAAATAGTTTCATTAAGTTAAATTTCAAGCGATTGATCCTATTCTAGGTTCCCTTCAATTAATTCTTCGTGCTAAATTGTCGTATATTCAGACAAATGTATCCAAAATGCAGTTACCTAATCTAAATTTCCTATAAACTCTGCTATATGTTTATTTTCAATCTCTTAAATTAATGTTAATGTTTATTGTTTTATTTTATTCAATTATTCGGCATTAATCGTATTAAGACTTTCTAAGAATGTTTAGAAAATTGAATTGATTTGGAGTTCCTTATTTACCAATAAATTTATCTCTTAGAGTAAGCATAAAATTAAATTGCTGGTTTGTTTGAATGACTTCATTAAAAAATGGATGTCCTGTTTTATTATTTTGATTTCTATAACCTTGTTATTTTTGAGTTAAGCGTTATATTAAAGCACTTATTACTTTACAGATTCGAAATTATTTATTAATTGGTCTTTCTGAGATCCTAAATAATTGTTTAAATCCTTTATTAATTCTAAATTCGATTGACTCGTTAATTATTAGATAAATAGATCCTCTTCATTTAATTATTGATCTGCCTAGCAATTGAAATTAAAGTTGATATAATCTTGCAATAATTAAATCTCACTTGAATTCTAAATCAAGTACTCTTAAAATAATTTTAAAGGTGCAAATTTTTTAACTTTAAAATTTTAGTTTCCAAATATTTTTAGTTTACCAGCAAATTTATTATAAGGAAGTAAAATTATTTAATTTTACTTTAATAATTAATTCCAATTTTCTTGATTAGCAGTTCCAATTTACATCAGTTATGATAATTAATCCTTTTAAACAATCGGTCTATAGCACATGAGATCAGATATTAAGTTAACCCAACAATAATGTATCATCCAATCCTTAGAAAGCTTTATATACTTTTGGTATCCATCTTGAATTTGCCTAATGATATTCTAAACGGAATAGCCCTATTTTAATTGATTTACTATTGACCATTTCAGAATTTCAAAAAAGTAATATATCTCGTAAATTTGTAAAGGATTTTGGATTTGTTTATTATAGAAATTTAAAAGTAAAAACTTACCTCCTTCTATAAGAGAGTCAATCAATTCATCACTGGGTTTTAATTAAGATAATGATGAGATCAATCCAGACATAATAGATATGGCTAATTCCTTACCTTTTTCAGAGTTTGTCCTACAATGAGCAATACATGTCTTAATCATCTTGAGCTCAAAATCTACACCATTAAACCAAATATTAATCGATTCTACTTAGATTTAAGATTCGATTTCTTAAATATATTCTAAAAATCTCTTATGTAATTCCGCTTACATATATCTTTCTTCATTCTTTGATTAATATGAAAATATTATTCTGAATAAAACATTACAAATTTAGAGTAGCAAATAGAATAGGAACCCAGAGAGTTTTAAAAAAATTATCAGTTATTTCATCAATTATTCTACAATCCTTTCTATAAGTTCATAAAATTACGAGTTTAAAGCATCATCCTTACAAATAATGTTAAATTACTCTTTGTGATTGTGAAACCACTAGAATGCAGCCAGGATTTCTTCTTGATTCATCTTATCCTGAAAGTTTAACGATTTTTCAACAATGATATTAGTATAAGTTTATAATTTGGATGCAAAATTTTCTTCAAAATTTTAATTGCCATATGTTATATCAGAATGAATTTTTTTTGTTCCACAACACCCACCACCTCTTAATTTAATACAAGGCTCCAAATCTAAATTACTTGCCTCATTTTTCAAAATTTTACCATGACTAAGATTGTTGAGCAGTTACTTAAATTTTTTTAACATATAATTTCGCAATGTATAAACTGAAGCAGCATTACTCATAAAAAGATAAGTATTAATCCTCTTGGCTTATTAATCCATGATTAATAAATAAAAAAAATATTAATTTCTTTCCTATTATATTTGTCTATTTATACTCAACATTCAAATTTATTAATTACTAATTAAATAGTAAATAGTTATGATGTCAAATTTTTAATTGATGATACATAACAATATTTGATAAAGTAGAAAAACAAAGAATTTATTGATGTATTTATATAAAGATCCCTCTGATCATAATTTTTTCTTTTTTCTCCTAATTGGTGAGCGCAATTCTAAAATTGAATTTCAACTTTGATGTATACTTATTTAGGTACCAGAAAACTTTTTTTTCTCCTTTTTAAAATATGAACAATTTTCATTATCTTAAAGATGTTTATAAAAATTATTAGTTTGAAGTATGTAATAAACCAGGTTATAAAGAGGCTTAATTTTATTTGAGGAAAGAGAAAAAAGATAAATCACTATTTGCAGTTATTTCTAAAGTTTTATTTTAATTATTAATTAATAATCAAAAAGGAATTTTTCCTTAACTCTCTTATTGTATTAGATACTTCGATTATAAATTTACACTTTATTTCCAAATCATTAATCTATTGATGATTATATACAAGTTCGAATTTTACATATTAAATATAGTTAATGCAGATCATTTTTGCAAACCTAGTTTTCCTAAATTTTCGCTTAACTTTTTTGGCTTAATTACCAATAAAAGTTTTTAAATTTTGAAAACAAAGCAAAGCTATTCATGGTTTCGGTTTTGTGAATTTGATTTTAATCAAATTAATAAATATTTCATATAATTTAATAATATAATTTATGAAACTGTTGATTATTGAGAATTAAATAAACTTTCAGGAAATAAGTATTTCCCTTAAATATGCCCTCAAAGGTTCGATCAAGTAAAAGTAAGATAGGGGATTATTCACTTTTAATTTGTTATTTATATACAATTTTGAAGACTAATCAGAATTGAGAATATTATAGTAATGAGAAATGGAAATGATATGGATTTTGATTTTTATAATAAATAGATTTCATCGAACTGCAATATAAGGAAAAATAAGGATGCAAATTTTGTTTAGATAGATTCTCAAACCCTGACTGAAGGTATTTAGGTCTAAATTTACGAATTGATTGTGATCAACATAAATATAAGCAAAACAAGTGTGATATAAAGTTTTCAAATTGCATACATCAATTTTGGCGACATTTAATTTTAGTTTCTATCCTTCATTATAAATAGGAACTTGTTTAATAAATTCTCTATATTATTATTTTTTAACTTTAGATACAAAGGTTATTCAAAATAGAAAAAGGGAATAATAAAACCTAAGATCTTAAACTAGTGAACTACTTCTTTAAGATTAAAATTAAATATGATTAAAAATTCTTGAAGAATTGCTTTTGAAAATATCTTCAATAATATAAATATACTTATGGTTTTTATACAGTTTATTCTCTTAATACTCCATCATAGTATGCCTGATAAAATAGTGTTAAGACATGTAATAATTAGAAATTTTAAGATTCTTATACTTGAAATTGTCACATTTATTGAAATAAACAGTTAATTAGCAATTAGATTCGGTTTCCGAGAGTATGGGTGGACACCCAGACTATATCCTTTCGAAATTGGGTCGCGGATGTCACCGCCATTTGTCGATACTACTACTTAATTTTTCTATTATAATACAATTCCAAATTCTTTATCTCAAATGTCACCTTCACAAGCAAATTCATAAGAGAAACGCACATGGGCAATATACTGATAATCTATACCGAATATATTTCGAGACCCATATTAGAGATAAATTCCCCTTCCCAGCTTTGCGTTTGGGTTAGGGTCCGGGGTCGGCTTTTGGGTTTGGGTTTGGGTTTTGGGTTTGGGTTTGGGTTTGGGCTTGGGTTCCGGTTTGGGTTTGGGTTTGGGGTCTGGCTTTGGGGTTCGGGTTGGGGTTGGGGTTGGGGTTGGGGTTGGGCCTCGGTTTGGGGTTGGGTTCGGCTTTGGGGTTGGGGTTGGGGTTGGGGTTGGGGTTGGGGTTGGGGTTGGGTTTGGGTTTGGGTTTGGGGTTGGGTTTGGGGTTGGGGTTGGGTTTGGGGTAGGGCGAGCCATCAGCCCCCAAA